CCGGTTTTTCTATGTGAATAGCCAGAGCTTCAGCGATACAAAGGAGACGAAACCGTATTGCCTTTGATAGGTTATTCTTGACTCTGTAGATTACTTTGAAGGAGGTGTTTGTTGAAATGCAATGATCACTGTTAACCAACCGGGTGTTCAATTATCGCACTTTTTATTGCACCACTATTGCCTTTTCGCAACCATGCTGGATAGGGTTCTTGAATCCTCTTGGGCAGGATCCGCGTCGAACGGCAGATGTAGCTGGCTTCACAGCAGCAGGTGAACTGATATATGCACATAGAAGTGGTCAGATGCGGGATCTTGTCCTTGAGGCTTCTGCAGATCAGTGGGCGACTGGAGAACACTATTCTTAGCGTTGCTGTAAAGAATGTTCTTCTCAGAGATGATGTGATCCTTCTCTTGAGAATGTCGCTTGCTAAATCTCCCTTGAAATCCAAGTTCATGTAGAGTTTCCTTTTAGGCGCAAATAAAGTTTCGTTTCTCCAAATTCTTGGTTTGATATTTTTGTCGATGAATCTTATTGGGTATCCACTTTGGATGAAGATTTCTCTTAGAATATCTAGTTCTGTTTCCAGAACGTCGGGACTACAGATGCGTCGGATGCGGGTGGCAAGTGATTTAATTAAATTTCGCTTTTGTTGAATGCGTACCCAGCTATAGAAGCTTGTTAGTTGACCATTCCACGTAGGTTTTTCTATGGATTGATCTTCTTAGATTCCCATCCGTTCTTCTTGTTATTTCCACATCAAGAAACGGAATTTTTGACTCGTTTTCTATTTCAAGAGTGAATTTTATTGCTGGATGGCAACAGTTAAATGTCTTCATCAGTAAATTGGGGTCATTGTTGTTGTCACACATAATGAAAATATCGTCCACTTATCTTTTATACAGTCGCAAATTGTCAATGCTCGGTCTTTAGTGAACCTTCTCTCGAGGCTTGCCACGAAGCAATCTGATAGTAGTGGACCCAACGGAGATCCCATTGCAATACCATCCTTTTATTTGTAGATGGTGTCGTTGAATGTGAACTGGACGTTCAGAGTGCATCTCAATAATAATTCTTTCAAGTATGTTATCGGTATTCCAATATCGAGGTAGTTGTCATCTATATATATGCATATGAAGCAGACCGTTTCTGTGAGTGGGACATTGGTGGAAAGTGACTCAACGTCGAAGGGCAGCATAATTTTGTTAGATACATTCATGTCTTGTATGCACTCGATGAACTGGAAGGTGTCACGGAGCGAGTGCGTACATAATTGCTTCCTTACAGGTTCCAGAATATCTGCAAGCCATTTTGCAATAGAGTGGTAAGGGGAACCTGACATATCCAGAATTGGACGAAGTGGGAGACCAACCTTGTGTACCTTTGGTAGACCATGAAGTCTTGGTATTATTGAACCTGTTGGCCGGATCTGGTCGTAGATAACTCCACTGATTAGTTAACTGGCCTTCATTCTCTTCAAGATGTCTGTGAGCTGCTTCTCAATCTGTTCCGTCTTGTTTCTTTCGTTGGAGGGTTGGGAAAATTTATCTTCATTCGACAGTATGTCGGTCATTTTCTCGATGTAGTCTACTCGATTCAGAGGCACTACACCAGCACCCTTGTCGGGCCGAGTTATAAGCAGATCTTTGTTATCTCTCAACTGTTTTAATTCTTCTCGGTGCTTCTTCGTTGGGTGGTTGCGGACTTTTGATTTTGTATTCAAGTATTGGTGGCAACAGTCCATGATTGTTGACTTGAATCTGTGTAACTCGTATTCAGAAGTTGGGCTGAGATCGTTCGTTTGGCTGATTAGATTTTCAAACTGGACCTGAGCATGAAGTTTGTCGGCGTTGAAATTTATATCGCGGAATTTATGGCCCGGAGATATAAATTTCAACGCCGACAAACTTCATGCTCAGGTCCAGTTTGAAAATCTAATCAGCCAAACGAACGATCTCAGCCCAACTTCTGAATACGAGTTACACAGATTCAAGTCAACAATCATGGACTGTTGCCACCAATACTTGAATACAAAATCAAAAGTCCGCAACCACCCAACGAAGAAGCACCCAGAAGAATTAAAACAGTTGAGAGATAACAAAGATCTGCTTATAACTCGGTCCGACAAGGGTGCTGGTGTAGTGCCTCTGAATCGAGTAGACTACATCGAGAAAATGACCGACATACTGTCGAATGAAGATAAATTTTCCCAACCCTCCAACGAAAGAAACAAGACGGAACAGATTGAGAAGCAGCTCACAGACATCTTGAAGAGAATGAAGGCCAGTTAACTAATCAGTGGAGTTATCTACGACCAGATCCGGCCAACAGGTTCAATAATACCAAGACTTCATGGTCTACCAAAGGTACACAAGGTTGGTCTCCCACTTCGTCCAATTCTGGATATGTCAGGTTCCCCTTACCACTCTATTGCAAAATGGCTTGCAGATATTCTGGAACCTGTAAGGAAGCAATTATGTACGCACTCGCTCCGTGACACCTTCCAGTTCATCGAGTGCATACAAGACATGAATGTATCTAACAAAATTATGCTGCCCTTCGACGTTGAGTCACTTTCCACCAATGTCCCACTCACAGAAACGGTCTGCTTCATATGCATATATATAGATGACAACTACCTCGATATTGGAATACCGATAACATACTTGAAAGAATTATTATTGAGATGCACTCTGAACGTCCAGTTCACATTCAACGACACCATCTACAAATAAAAGGATGGTATTGCAATGGGATCTCCGTTGGGTCCACTACTATCAGATTGCTTCGTGGCAAGCCTCGAGAGAAGGTTCACTAAAGACCGAGCATTGACAATTTGCGACTGTATAAAAGATAAGTGGACGATATTTTCATTATTTGTGACAACAACAATGACCCCAATTTACTGATGAAGACATTTAACTGTTACCATCCAGCAATAAAATTCACTCTTGAAATAGAAAACGAGTCAAAAATTCCGTTTCTTGATGTGGAAATAACAAGAACGGATGGGGATCTAAGAAGATCAATCCATAGAAAACCTACGTGGAATGGTCAACTAACAAGCTTCTATAGCTGGGTACGCATTCAACAAAAGCGAAATTTAATTAAATCACTTGCCACCCGCATCCGACGCATCTGTAGTCCCGACGTTCTGGAAACAGAATTAGATATTCTAAGAGAAATCTTCATCCAAAGTGGATACCCAATAAGATTCATCGACAAAAATATCAAACCAAGAATTTGGAGAAACGAAACTTTAATTGCGCCTAAAAAGAAACTCTACATGAACTTGGATTTCAAGGGAGATTTAGCAAGCGACATTCTCAAGAGAAGGATCACATCATCTCTGAGAAGAACATTCTTTGCAGCAACGCTAAGAATAGTGTTCTCCAGTCGCCCACTGATCTGCAGAAGCCTCAAGGACAAGATCCCGCATCTGACCACTTCTATGTGCATATATCAGTTCACCTGCTGCTGTGAAGCCAGCTACATCTGCCGTTCGACGCGGATCCTGCCCAAGAGGATTCAAGAACCCTATCCAGCATGGTTGCGAAAAGGCAATAGTGGTGCAATAAAAAGTGCGATAATTGAACACCCGGTTGGTTAACAGTGATCATTGCATTTCAACAAACACCTCCTTCAAAGTAATCTACAGAGTCAAGAATAACCTATCAAAGGCAATACGGTTTCGTCTCCTTTGTATCGCTGAAGCTCTGGCTATTCACATAGAAAAACCGGAGCTGTGCACACAAAAGAAGATTACTCAACCACTTCTACTCTCATGGTAACAACTTTTTTGATTTGTTTTGAGTTTTTTACTTTTATTTTGATGACTTAATTTTGTTTCTTTGCCTGGTGTTTAATTGCTTATAATTCTTGTATTCACTTAGATCTCTTACATAATTTCGTATTATCTACTTTGTTTCTATGTGCATCCTGAGTAAAACTCACTCATCAAACTATTCATATTATTATTACATAACTTCTTTTAACTCCTGTTTGTGACAACTCATCACCTTTGTAACTACCCTAGTTTCATTAACACTTAATTTTCTTGACTTGTATTACCAATCTTCACCTGTTTAGTTAAAATAACCTTAACCAATTGTATTTTGTTTGACAAACTTAATGTACACATACATACAAAACAACACATATATATTTGCGATTGTATAGCTGAGAAAATGGATTCGCCGTCGAAAAGAGACTCTTCACTGATCTACGTGTTTTGTTTTCAAAGAGATTCGCGCATTGGTTTTTCCTGGCAATTATTTGACCTTTGATCACTGAGATTTTTAATAAAATGAGGTACATCTGGAAGCAACACAGACGAAGTAACTTTTAGCTCTCTTGAAAAGATGCAACTGAACTATTCATGATACAGATATTCTATATATAATCTACTGCATTGTAACCACTGGGACTAATTTTTCTCCAGTCCTGCTCTAGCACCCTTACAAGTAATATATAAAATCCCACTTATGAATAAGCTAGTCATCTACGGTACCAATAAAGTCGAAGAAATTCATACCATTTTAGTTCAATTCCACAGTGAGGTGTAGACTCGCTACCTGGTTGGAGTTATCGGAGACGCTGGGAACCAATGGTGGTTTCAGACTGTTAGTGATATGGTTGAAACCTGTTCTTATTGGTTTACATGTATTCGTTTGTTTGTAATCTGCCAGATCGACGAATTAAGACGTCATATTCCTGTGTATGCCTATTCCTTCTACTGTATGTAGTGCGTGTGCAGTGACTTGTACTGTTGCACTTTTGTGCAAAGTTCTTCGTCGAAAGTTCAGTTCAGTCCAGTTCATGCATTAAACCTGAGTGGTTTTAATCAATTCTGAGTTGTATTACCTACACTCTAATGACATAATCGATGCTGAGATTTTGTCGGTCAATAAACTTCTCAGTCTCCGATGTTACAGATGTTATTACAGTTAAAATCGGATGGTTGATATGCTTACCATAAACAGCATACCTACCCAAAACACACCTGAAGTAACAAATTATTTATCGGTTTTTTCTGGTTAATTGAGGACTGTCAGGCCACCGAAACATGAGAAAGTGTGATACCAGTTAATCTCACCACCAGTGAAGTAATGACAAATACTTACGTGATATAAGAATTTGCCGAATATACATACATATACAGAAGTCAGCAGTGAGAAGAACTCTCCAAACCACTTACCTCAATTCACTCTTTTTAACCAACTTTCTTTTTGGTGACATGGATATATTTTTAACAGACTAAGGAGAACTAAATGTGTGTGTGAAACTGTGTGAATAAATCGAAAAAGCACCTAGAAATCCACAGAGAGAGAGAGAGAAAAAAAAAGGAGATACACGTTTCAGATAACGAATAACAAATGTAAACAAATTTATCATAACTATGACATAAGCTTATGGCGACTGACTGACTGACAGGTTGAGTGTCAACAATACAACTTTGCACAGAAATGCAGCAGTTTAAGCTGCCACACATTTCTATGCCACATTTCTTCCTGAAATGAATTATTGAGGAAATTAAGGCCACTATTTTAACGAAACTAAAAATAAAAGTTACAAGTGGAATGAATAAACACCTTGAGTAATTTGCAGAAAGCCTTAAAACTCTGATCAATTCTCCTAATAAATAGAAGTGCAACCCAACGCCCAATAAATGAAGTCTTACATAGTGAAACAATTGAATATAATCATAGAACAATAACTGGCTTAACTTCAGCGATAAGAAGGCGATGTGAAAAATAACAGTCAACACGATCTCGTAACATTGCATACACATGACAAAGGCTATCACCACTAACACGAACCATGATATTCACAATTGTCGTGGACTGGATTATGCACAACACCCAACCAGGTAAGCGGAGAAGACAAAAACATATTGGACGGATACGAAGACTATAGAACATCTCAACTTCCTGCACGATTGATGTCTAATGTCACATAAATTCGAAGACTTACAGGCGAGAAACCAACAAACTAGCTGATGAACAGGACAACGAAGATACGAACGACTTTAAGCGAACATACAGAAGACGGAGGTGATGACAACAACAATAACAACATGAACCAATCACTATCAACGGAATAAATTTCAAACAGTTCACTTCCTTCACTTATCTAAGTGTCTACCAGCGTTCCAAATACATGCACAAGGGACGGATAAGGATGACAAAACCTCCATCCTCAAATTAGTGTGGAAATCTCCACTGGCTCACCCTAAGTACCAAAATTTGCATTTTTAACATCAGTATTCAATCAGTCACTTCTTATATAACTGTATGAAACATGAGGAGTGCGTTAGGCGAAACGCAACAAGTTTGGCAGAAGAAGCAGGCAGAGAACAAACGACCTCACAACCTACCTTCCAAGCTGGGCGCGCACGAGAATAAGTTTGAAATTACACTTTCGGAAGTTGACATTCACATAAACAAACGTGTCGTAATAATCGAAATGAAATAGTCAGACTTCGTCTTCATGCGACTACCCAATGAACAAATACAGGTTGTATTATATTCGGGCTGAAATAAGCCTCACCTCATGCAGTTCAGCTGTATGTTTGCGCTACAAAAACAAAATCCCACCTCTCTTCCCGCTTTTCCCGTGTTTCCCATATTTTCCAGAAAATACTTGCTCGCGTTTTCCCACTTTACCTATGTTGCAACTGAGAACAGTCCACCTTTTCCTACTTTGCCGAAATCTGGACAGAAAACTGCTCACATTTTTACCCACATATCTCAGGTTCAAATTAAAATTAACCGACTAAGGTCTAATCGTTTCAAAGACCTTCAAAGTACTCATAACATTCAAAAGGCCTTAGCTATGGCTGCATTACAATTTGCAGTTGTTTTCAGGCCACGGCTGACAATAATTGATAAGTTCTTTTGTCACATGACATCTGGCGATTCAGCGTCCCTCAAGGAATACTACGTGTAAGACCTCTAACCTATGTGCATTACCGCACTTCTCCCGGAATTAGAGGTTTGACTTCTCAGCTAATTTACGCAGGTCGCTTTGTAATACCGACCTATCGTCATTATTTTTCAGGTTTTTAGATCTTAGTGTCGTCCATTATCGTTTTTACGAACTAGCGTACGCCAAATTGACTTCTTGATCCTCAGTACACTTTCGCGTTTCGCGTCCCGCCACTCGACTGTTGTAGCTACAAAATTAAGAAATACTAACTCATATTTAATAATGTGCAACCTAATTACTTGGTCAAAGCATTCATCAAAGGAAAAATCAAGCGTTCTACTCTGAGTAGTCTAATGTGAATACATGCATGGGGACTGAAGTTTCGGTTTCGAACCTGTATTCAAGTGTTGGTTTGTAGGGATTTGATTGGTATCAGGATTTCATCATGAGCTGACATTAGTTAGAGAACCATTGGAAAACCTGGGAGTACTGGACAACTGTTTTGTTTTAGTTTGAATACCAATGAGATGCTCACTGGCGACTGGCCCTATTCAGGTAGGTTATTCAGGCTACCTGGCTTCCAGTGGGAAGTCGTGACCAGTAGGGTGCAGCTGGTCGGGTGTGAGGACAAATACTCGCCGAAGACATTGGCTAGCGGTCGCGCTATATCGTGAACTGGCAGAAGTTAGAATTCAAGGACCATTGGATCGGGTCCCAGTGGCTTAATGGTATACGAGCTCGCCTTGTAACCGGAAGGTTCTGGGTTCGAATCCCGGTGGGTGCGTACTGATGAAGAGTCCCAAACTAGGACGAAACAGTTGTCCAGTACTCCCAGGTTTTCCAATGGTTCTCTAACTAATGTCAGCTCATGATGAAATCGGACCTGTATCATTCATATGCGGCAAACATTGAATTTTAATTGAGATTAAATGAGGATAAACTACCACAATGAAAACGCAAACTGAATAAGTAGCCTAAGTAGGTCTAAGGAAGTACAACAGTAGCACTCCGTTAACCTATTTGACTAGGAGAAAGGAGACGGTACGCACAGCTGGTGAGTAAATTTACCAAGGTCACTTGCTGTTCCGACATTCACTAAGCCTTATGTTATTGTGGCCCTAAATTCAGTCAACAATGTTGACTGTGTGAGCTGAAAAAGCCAGACAGATCTCTTGCAGCTCTCTCCTTGATTTGAAATCAGCTATTTTTTATCCTTGTTAAACTTCTGTGTGACTTATTCCGTCACTTGACTACCTCGGCATTGGTCGGCTCCAAGGTTAGTGGAATGAGGATTTGTCATTGTTTTTGCAGTGTTAGATGTGTTAACACCCTGGCGTCATTGTAAACTGAGATGATCTTTCCACCTGTTAGCCCTCCGATTCTTTCCAAAGAGTTAGCGAAATTGATAAGCTTAAAAAAGAAACATACAAACAAACACACTGATAACAAAACTTCATACTTCAAAAGTCAGGGAATCAAAATACATAATGGTCAGAAGAGTGGGACAAGGAAGAGTGGGTCGTAGTGAAGGACGATTTAGACAACACCCACGAACAGAATGAGGCAGGTGAATTCCATTTGGACAGATTACTTGTGTTACTACATAATTATCTATACTTCGCTTAGGGCGTCCCACTGAGGGTGCAGTGAACGCAGCTGCTGGAAAAGAGTTGCGGAGGCAGAAAACTTGGAGAGGCAGGAGATGGGGGCTCACTAGAGTATTCGCTGTCCCACAGCCTTCCAACCGTGGATTGCCACCAGGTAGCCCTTAATGACTTTATGATATGTTTCCTTCATTTGAGTGGTTCCGGTCATTTGTAATCTTGCAGGCAGTGATTTGGTCACCTCTAAGCTGACGTTGGCCAAGTGTGGAAAGAAATAATCCCCTCCAATTTTCACCGTACGATTATTCCCGAGACCCATTACATTATTTGTCACCTGTATTTAGATCCTTTCTGAAATGATGGTGTCCTTTCCTAACAACACGACAACAACCATGCTGTTCAGAGTAACCGGGTATTCATGCATTCTGCAATTCTGGAAACTATGTGTTCTTTCACTACATCATCAGTCTAGTACACAATAGTATCTGGTTATTCCGTGAGACCTTAGTCTCACTATGACTATCAGCCAACTCTCAGAAACCGTCAATGTCCAGCTCTTACTACTCTGGACCTCACGCTGTCCCTCTAAGACTTTCAGAAACAATTTGTAATAACCAACACGAAAAACCAGAACACAGACTGGCGGCTCGAGAATCCTTTATTCCTACGCCAATATGTGACCAACAATAAGGCTATTGTACACAAGGTCTAAGAATAAATGTTATAACAATAAATCACGATAATACTTCTGATAGTTTTCTGTCTTCCACCGAACAGCGAACGATGAAACGATGACTGCCGCATTGATGACGCCCGAGAAAATTTTGGTGGAGTTGGGTTTGAGCAAACAGCCATGAATTGATCGTTCAATCGTCAACTCCATTGACACTCCCCGGCAAAATACGGATCCATCCCTTTTTTCCATCACGACCAATGCACGTTGACTTAGATGCCATTGCGAGAACCTGGGTCACAGGGTCAAAGCTGAAATGGAAAACAAACAGAAAAGTCAACACACCACAGACATACTCACAGCACAATCTCACTCATCGACGACGACCTATGCCTTCTAGTTAAAGGCATCCTCTTGACATCTTGCAACACAATCTCCACTTGCTAGAATGACTCTTGCAAAATGCAACGTGGCCATAGCAGCACCTCACGATACTCTTCGAACATCCCCTTATCTATTCACCACCAATTACCACTGCGATTGTTTGTCACTCATTCTGCCTCAGTTCTAGTAACGGTGACGTATGCAAGCCTCGGTCTTCTACACTCTCGCTCTCCAGCGTGTGGGACCACAGCCTAAATAAAAACATTCATTCTCAATCATTGATTCCAGAGCTAATCCTTATCTCCGTGTGCATGTCATTCTCAGCGATAGCCTAGCCTCCCCGGCGTATACGACCCATCTGCTGTCCTTAACATCAATCAATTCATTCACGGATGTAGAAGACTAGAAACAACTTCAGAAGTAATCACGACGAAAATTTCAACAAAATTATGCAATAAAAACAAGGTACGAAAACAACGAGTAAACACAATGAATCCAAAAACACCAATTGATATGACACACCACACGTATATACAAACAGTGCAAATAACCTCGCAGACCATGTCTTGATGGAATTCCTTTGAAGAATCGCAGGACTTACACCAGTACACCCACAACCCTTCTCAGGTTGATGACCGTAAGTTGAAGAATATCCGGACACAAACGAGATCAACCAACAACTATATTAATTGGAACCCACTCAATTACTTAACACAAACAAATGTACAATCAATACGTCAAATTCCGTGGACTCTGCCTTGACGAGCTACCCTTGAAGAATTGTAGGGCTGACAGCAGTACGCCTAAAACCCTTCTCAGGTTGATATACTAGGTTGGAAAATCGCCGCAGAGTTCATTTGCTGACCTCCTTCTATCATCTATATCCTCAACTCTGAACAGTGACACGCCCATGACATTGTATCGTGGAATGTAGATGACTAACAAACATACGACCTATCTGACCAACCAAGTGCAGGCACACAGCAATTTACACCAACGATAATAACATTCCAAAAGCAACTTGAAACCTGAAAGTCTATTCGTGCAAGTCAGTTTTACAATTACACTCTCATACACAGTTGGCCTATCCTCACTAAACTGACCATTGACATTTGCGCTTTCAAACGGACTGATACTAGTATAGTCATACCAAAAGACACGTGAGTTCATGGACGTCCCTTTCATTGTGGATGACAACACCAACGACGGCTGTGTGACACAAGTTGATGAAATTAGCGGTGCATCAGAAGCTGTTGTTTTTCGGCTCCTAGAAGGTTGTCTTACTGCAAGATTACAACCACTGCTGTTTTTTATTATTAGCTCCAGTTTGGCATTAACATCCGTTGATAGTTGGGCTACACTGACGGTCTTACGTGTATCCAAACCTTCTGCAACCACATCTGCCTTTAACTCTACTTCACGTTCGAGCTGTACAGTACCTATGTTCAACTCAGCTCTAGTAGGCATTCCGCTCATCTCATCATGATCAACCAAAGACAAAAATGCACTGTCACGATCGTTATGACAAATATTCACGTTACCGTCGTCTATCTGGTGAACTTCATCATTTTCAGCCTCTTTAATAACAGCAGCAGATGACATGGATTCTTCTTCATGAATCCCTAAAGGTTTGATACCTTCACTTTGACTAGTAATACCTCGTAAACTTGTGGAGTCAGAACTGAATTCTGAAACTGTAACTCTCTTCTGCACAAACTGTGGTGTCGTCTGTGACACTCCATTCAACAATGGCTTACTGGTTGCAACTAAAGGCTTCTTCACCGCACCATTATCGTCATACGGTTCGGAGTCAGACCTCGATTTCACATTAGCCTTTACATAGCCTTGATACACATTTGCCTGGTGAAACCGCCCCCGTTACTAGCCCTTCCCTTGAAAGCATTGTGTTCACTA